CCCCCCCCCAAAGAACTAAGTGCCCCGGCATCTCAGCCAGGCAAGGGTGCCCGTAAGGACAGCCAGCCACTGTCAGGGCCACCTTCACAGAAGACACAGAGGCCAGGATGGGGACACGGAAATGTGGGCAGAAATGCCCCCGGACAATCCGACATTGCCAGGGCATTCACACAGACAGACAGACAGACACTGCCCCTAAAGTTGGGACCCCCAGGTTCCATGCCCAGGCGATGGCCCAGGCCCCTGTCTGCTGCCCAGAGGGGCCTGGGCTTGGGTGCTGGGCGAGGTCTGGGCTTACCTTGGCCGACCTGCCGGGCAGGCGGACTGCGCCGTGCTGATCGTAGCGGCAGGAGTGGGCGAGTTTGAGGCGGGCATCTCCAAGAACGGGCAGACCCGGGAGCACGCGCTGCTGGCCTACACGCTGGGCGTGAAACAGCTTATCGTGGGGGTCAACAAGATGGACTCCACGGAGCCCGCCTACAGTGAGAAGCGCTACGACGAGATCGTCAAGGAGGTCAGCGCCTATATCAAGAAGATCGGCTACAACCCAGCCACCGTGCCCTTTGTGCCCATCTCGGGCTGGCACGGCGACAACATGCTGGAACCCTCGCCCAACGTGAGTGCCCAGCAGCGGTGGCGCTGCTCGAACCTCCCCCTGAGGGCCCTGGGTCAGGGCGGGCACAGACAGCCAGCAGGAGGGAGTGCGGTGCCAGCCCCCTGTGGGTGTCCGCGCTGCTGGAAGCCCCAGACTCCTTGGGCGCCGGACGCTCTGCCCTCAGCTCAGCCTCCCCGTGAGGCTGGCAGAAGCCACTGCAGCCCCTTCTCTGGCCGGGGACACGCCCCCTTGCCCCCCAGGCTGACACTGCGGGGGCAGCGGCTGCCGGGGCCCAGGCCCACTTGCCCCATCTCTGTCTCCAGAGACCTGCGTGGCAGGGTTGCATCTCCCCTAGGAGCCAAGGCCACGGGGCCTCCCAGGCACCTCCCCGAGGCCCCCCAGGCACCTCCCTGAGGCCCAGAGCAGGCCGGGACAGCAAAGGGCCGAGGACTGGCTCTCTGGGGTCAGCTGGGAAGCTGGTGGCCCTGGCAGCCCATGTCCTGGGAACTCTGACTCGGTAGGAGGTGCTGAGTGGGACCTGCTTGTTTTGAATTTGTGGAACCCGAGACCAAGTGCCTCACCCGGTCAAGCCAGAGGCCACCCCTGGCCCAGCAGGGGTCACTAGTCCTGGCCAGGATGCAGCTGCCCACACTGAGGGAGGTGGGCATGGGGGGTATCTCAGGAGAGCCAGGGGAAACTCAGCCCTGCACCCGGCTGGGGGCCGCCCCTTCTGGTCGGGCTGCCGGCTTGTATGTCGTGGATCGAGCTCCCCTCGTGGGGGTCTCACATAGGGAGGGGTGAGCCAACCGTGGGCCCGGAGGCCATGGCTGTGGGGTGGGTGGTGCGGGGGCACGTGGGCCCTAGGACGGTGCTTTCTTCCTCCTGCACAGATGCCGTGGTTCAAGGGCTGGAAAGTGGAGCGGAAAGAAGGGAACGCCAGTGGCGTGTCCCTGCTGGAGGCCCTGGACACCATCCTGCCCCCGACACGCCCCACAGACAAGCCCCTGCGCCTGCCGCTGCAGGATGTGTACAAGATCGGCGGTGAGTGAGGGCTCCATGGCCACCGCCCACTGCAGCACCCACCCTGCAGCCTGGCCAGCTCTGCCCTCAGACCCCCTCCTGAGAATGGGCCCCTGACCAGGAGCATCCGGGCCGGGTTATTTCAGCCCCTTCCCCCATGCTGCACACTTTCCGGGGGGCCACCCATCCACCCATCTCCATCCATGATCTGTCCATCTATCCACCCCCACCCCCGACCCACCTATTATCCATTTCTGCATCAGTCCATTCATCCGTCCACCTCCCCCGCCCGTCCATCAGTCTGCCCCGAGTTTTCCAGGGTCCTCCTCCCTCCAGATAAGTGCCCAGCCCTGTACCAGGAGCTGGGGGCGCAGGGAGAGTCACATACTACTCTCCACCTGGAGATTCCTGTCTTGTGGGAGACAAGATCCACTCCAGGAGTGAGAAAAGCTGGTCATGAAATGATACAGAAGCATAAACAAGTATGAGGCCCACGATGGGGCAGCGATGGGGGACTCCCAGCCAGGAGGCTGTGGCAGAGATGCAGGGCCTGTGTGCAGGATGGGGGTGTCACACTCACCCAGCACAGAGAACAGCCACCAGCCTCAGCCTCCGCAATGCCACACGAGCCCCTGTCACAGCCAGGGAGACCGGCTGGAGCCCCCACCGCCCCCGTCCCCCACTCTGGGGAGCACCAGACCCCCCACTGGGCAGCCACACAGTATAAGCAGATCCTGAGAAGTGCAGGGGCACCCACGCCCCTTTGGGAGTGACCCTCAGGACAGCAGCGCCAGCGCCAGGCAGGCCACCTTGGGTGGGCTGGTCCTCAATCCGCTCAGGGCTTCTGCCTCACAGGGTGGGGCCTCAGGGAGAGGAGGGTCCCCCAGCGCCTCCTCCAGGGAAAGCTGCCACCCGGGGGCAGGGGTGGGACCCCTCCTTGCCCATTCTCCCTGTGCTCTGGGAACTCTCTTCCTCATTCCCTTCTTCCGCTGGCGGGGCGCGGAAGCCTCCACTTCTGTCTGAACGTCTCAGCGTCCGCCTTGCCCAGGGCCTCCCTGTCCCCTCCCTCCTGCCACGTGGCCGCCCCCCACCGGCCAGGGAGGACAGGGCACCCCTGACGCCAGCCTGCCCTCACGGCCCCCTTCCTCTCGGCCCAGGCATTGGCACCGTGCCCGTGGGCCGAGTGGAGACGGGCATCCTCCGGCCGGGCATGGTGGTGACCTTTGCGCCTGTGAACATCACCACGGAGGTGAAGTCGGTGGAGATGCACCACGAGGCGCTGAGCGAGGCCCTGCCCGGGGACAACGTAGGCTTTAACGTGAAGAACGTGTCGGTCAAGGACATCCGCAGGGGCAATGTGTGCGGGGACAGCAAGTCCGACCCGCCCCAGGAGGCCGCCCAGTTCACGTCCCAGGTGGGCAGCCCGGTGGCCGGCAGGGCCCCCCTCCCACCAGTACCAGGGCTGTCCTCAGGCGAGGGGGCTGCCTGGCGCCGGGGAGGACTGAGACCCCTGCTTCGCAGAGTGGGCCACCGGGGCCGGGCAGGGCTGAAGCCGGCCGAGGGCGCAGGTGGGAAGAGCAGGCAGGCTGCACCCCGGCCTCGGTGCTCCTGGCCTCACTGAGGTCCCTCTTTGGTCCTGAAAGCGCTTTGGTCAGTTTATTGCTTGGGACGGGCCTGTGACATTTCACCCTCCGCATTTTCACCGTGTCCTCTTCGGTCACCTCTTCACGTGACTAGGACTTTTTAAACTGGCTTTACTGAAATACAGTTGAAATATGATCATCTAAGTCCGGTCTTGTCATCCACCGTCTTTGCTCTGGCCGCCGGCCCTTTCAAACCGCGCCCTCGTCGTTGTTTGTCTCTTGTGGCTTTTTAGATGCTTGGAGAGGGCCTCGGGGTCCGGGTCCAGGGGCCTGGGTCCCCGCTAGACTGACCTTCCTCCGCGGTCGGCACTCTGGGCCCCAGGGACCTGGGGTGGGCGGAGCCTCTCCCAGCTCTGTGCCCACCTGCGTGTGCCTGATGGCCTCGTGCTCCTCTGTCCGCAGGTCATCATTCTGAACCACCCTGGGCAGATCAGCGCCGGCTACTCGCCGGTCATCGACTGCCACACGGCGCACATCGCCTGCAAGTTCGCCGAGCTGCGCGAGAAGATCGACCGGCGCTCCGGGAAGAAGCTGGAGGACGGCCCCAAGTCCCTGAAGTCCGGCGACGCGGCCATCGTGGACATGGTCCCGGGGAAGCCCATGTGTGTGGAGAGCTTCTCCCAGTACCCACCTCTCGGTGAGCCGGCTGGCGAGGCGGGGGCAGCCCCGGGGGGCGGCCAGTCCAGCCCAAGGGCCAAGGACCTCTGTGCGGGAGGGCTGCACGGAGGGTCCTGCGCCTTTGCGCTGCAGCTTAGAGCTTAGCGGGAGACCCCCCGGCCTCGGTCTTCGTCTCATGGAGCACAGGCGGCCCCGCTGAGTGGGCCCGGGTTGGTATCCTGCACTGCAGACCCACCCAAGGCCCACAGCTGGTCTGGTGGCAAGAGTTAGGACTGGCCGCCTGCCTCCAGCTGGCCGGCCGCACAGATACCCCAAGGACGACCCCCAGACCTATATCAGAGAGCTGCCTTATGCAAGGTTGCTGGCCATCTTCAGGATAGCTGAAAGGGTGTACTGTTCTCCGCGCCGGCCTGCCCTAAGCACTGTTCACATACCAGTTAACCCCCACAGCGACGCCTTGGCGGAGTCCTGTGTGTGTTATTCCTGCCACCTAAGGAGGCAGGGGCCTCGTACTCCGCTGCCCCCACCACCCCCGAAACAGGCGCAGAGAGCTCGGGGCCCAGCGCTCGGGTCCCGGCCCGGGGCCCGGGGCTGGGGAGGATGCTGCGGGCGCGAGTGCGCCTGCGCGCTGTACCCCGGCCCGCGCCTCACGCCCCCTCCCCGCAGGCCGCTTCGCCGTGCGCGACATGCGGCAGACGGTGGCCGTGGGCGTCATCAAGAATGTGGAGAAGAAGAGTGGCGGCGCCGGTAAGGTCACCAAATCGGCGCAGAAGGCGCAGAAGGCGGGCAAGTGAAGCGCGGGCGCCCGCGGCGCGACCCTCCCCGGCGGCGCCGCGCCCCCCC